CACTCAAGGATGCCCATCAGAAAGGACAGGGCCCAGATTAGGGCACATATGACAACTGACATGTTTTCTGGGCGGTGGCAGTGATACCATATGGGCCACAACACAGACAGGCAGCGCTCTGTGCTAATAGCACTGAGTATGCTCAGGCCTGCGATATAGGGAATGATCGCTGCATTGCCTAAGATTGATTTGCTTACTTTGTGGGCATAGAAGCCATAGAAATCAATGACCCGTAGGAGTGAGTCAATAAAGTGGCAGCAGAGGAAGAAGGAGTCCGCAAGAACCAGGTTGAAGATGTAGATGGAGATGACTTTTTTGCGTATGTGGAATCCCAGGAGCCAGAGTACGATGGTGTTTCCTACCAGTCCAACCAGGGCAATAATGATGGCCAGGAAGTTCAGGGCCAGGATTGGACTACAATCTTGATTCCCAGGCTGGTCAGTTTCATTTGTTGGCATAGATGCTGTGTTGTGGGATGAGACGGTTGGATCCATGTTCACAAATCTTCCAGCAGTGTCCCTGAGAACATCAACCATATTTGAGCATCTTAATGTGGTCCCTTCTCCAAAGATCATGTGTTATGTAGATATTGTTGTTAGCATTTCTAAATAAATTCATCTGTAAATAAAAGGATATTATATGACTGTATGAATTAAATCACTTACAAAGAGCTGGAGCATTCCGGACTGCGGATTCAAACCCACAGTTTGTTGACTCAATAGTCTGAGTTGTTCTTCTTATGTATAATTCAGAACCTCTAAATCACATGGAAATGATCAATGTTATTCTATGTCATATACATATATTCTATGAGACAAACTTCTCAATTCAGGGTACTACATGCACCAAACACTACTGCTCTATGGACCATAACTTTTTCTTATGTGAAAAGTATTGAGAAAAACAAAGAGGTGATCTTGATACTCCCATGATTGAGATGGTTTCATCATTCATGGAGAATGAATAGCATGTTTTAGGGTCACAAGGGAATTGTGGACTTTTCTAGTATATTTGTTAGGATGACTCGGTCTGGTGATCTAGATAGGACCCAGGGAAGAAGTGCTTAAATACAAGTGTGCTTTCTGTATTTTTCAAGGCTTAGATTTTGTATATTTTGTATATCACAGTGTATTCTTTTATGTTTTGAAAGGATATAAGTTTAAAAATCACATTTAAAAATTGTGTGTGTGCATGTGCACATGTATGAATCCTTGTGGAAACCAGAGGTGAAGGATTTGTTTCTCTCTTCAAATCTTGACTACATTTATGCCATCATAGAGCCTTCATCCAGTAACTGATGGAAATAGAAGCAGACACCCACAGCTAAACACTGAGATGAACTCCCTAGAATCCAGTTGCAGAGAGGAGGCTTAATGAGCAAAGGGGTCAAGACTAGGTTGGAGAAACCCACAGAGACAGCTGACCTGGAAGAAGGGGATCTCAGACCCCAGACTGATAACTGGAAAAGAGCATATGACTGGTCCAGATCTCCTGAATGTAAATGTCAGTTTGGAGGTCTGGGTCACTTCCTATGGGGCTTCTGGTAGCTGATCAGTATTTATCTCTAGTATATGAATAGATTTGGGGAGCCCACTCCACAAAAAAGGGATACTTTCAGTCAGACACATGTGGGAGGGTTCAGTCCCTACTCCAAATAATATGACAGATTTTGAAGATCCCCAAGGTGCTTCTTCATGCCTCACCCTCCCGGGGAGCATGGTGGATGGGATGGGGTGCTTGGGGCAGATAGGAGGACAGAGGGAGGTAGAGGAGCTGGGATTGACATGTAAAACACAACTTAAACAAAAGAGTATGTTGTAGAGTGATGATATACTCAAATTCCTGTTTCTCTAAACTATCTTAAGTAGAGTTCATTTGCTAGTTAAAGCTTTTATATTAAAGTAGTTTTTTGATGGAGAGGCACATGCAGATACTGAATAGAGAAAGGACAGCTCACACCTGGGGCACTAATACCAGGTCCCAAGAGGAGAGAAACTGAGGATAAAGGCACCAATATAAAACCTACGGCTTCTGGTTTGCAGTTAATCATCACGACAGAGCACATTGTGCAGCACAGAGGCTCCTCTAGTGGAAAGCAGAACACCTAAGATTGGGTGCCTGTGCTAGCTTTTCCTTCTTCCCATTTTCTTACATGAGACTACCCAAAATCTTTCTTGACTCCTGTCTTGGTACTTGTCTGCAACTCTCCTCTTCAGACACATTAAGCAGTAAGGACTTATTAATTTTGTAGAATTTCTCCTTAATCCAGTAAAGTTGTCAGTCTTGTTTAGCCATTAAAAACCCAAACCATATCAATTTTGCACCCAGATACATTTCCTAAAATTATTCTGAATAGCATGGTCATAATTCTACTTAACACAGAAATCCTGTGTACAGCTGAAGGTACAGTAACCCACCCCTTTAATCTCTGCAGTTTTAGCTTGCTCAACAGCCAACATCCACAAATATCTTTTGCGACTCAGACTAACTTCTTAGCTGCCACTCCCCATACAAAGTCAAAAGTGGAGACTCCCAACATACACTGGTATATAGTAAACAGTCTCATTCTAAAACAGAGGACCAGGAGAATGTCAAGAAAGAATGTGCCCACAGCAACAAGGAAACCCACTGGTGTACACTCTAAGTCCTGCATCTTCATGTCCATCAACAAGGTCACATGGCATTGTGATGTCACCTCAAAGGGCTGGAGAGTGCCTGCACTTGTGGATTTTCCAATTATAGCCAATGCAGCCTTCCTGAAGAGCTGCCTGTGCTCCCTACTTGTAGCAGTTTCAGCAGATGGTCCATGTTTCTGGCATCTCCAGTTTCCTTGGATTTTCAATTTGCCTTCAACTTTATTCTTTTTTATTTAAATGGATTTATTTTTCATTTTACATACCAACCCCAGTTCTCCCTCTGTCCCCTTTTCAGGCCCTCTTCTTCCTCTCCCTCCCCCCATCCACTCCTCAGAGGAGGTAAGATCTTCCTTGGGGAGTCCACAAAGTCTAGTACACCAAGTTCAGGCAGGACCAAGACCCTCCCCACTGTGTCAAGGCTGAGCAAGTTATCACACCATAGGGAGTGGGCCCCCAAAAGCCAGTTCATGTCCCTGGGTTAGGTCCTGGTGCCACTGCCAGTCCCCCCAACAGATCAAGCCACATAACTGTCACCCACATTCAGAGGGCTTAGTTCGATCCCATGTAGGATCTTAGTTGCCAGTTCAGAGTCCATGAGCTCCCACTAGCTCTGGTCAGCTGTCTCTGTGGTTTTCCTCATCATAATCTTGACCTGCCTTGGTCATATGATCCCTTCTCCTTCTCTCCAACCGGAATCCAGGAGCTCAGCCTAGTGCTTGGCTGTGGGTCACTGTATCTGCTTCCATCAATTACTGGATGTAGGTTCTATGATAGCAATTGGGGTAGCAACTACTCTGATTAAAGGGGAAGGCCTGTTTAGACACCCTGTCAGCTATTGCTAGGAGTCTTAGCAGGGGTCATCTTTGTGTATTCCTGAGAATTTCTCTAGCACCAGGTTTCTCCCTAACTCCACAATGGCTCCCTCTATCAAAAAATCTCTGTCATTGCTCTCCCTCTCTGTCCCTCTCCCAACTCGGTCTTCTTGATCTCTCATGTTCCTATCTCCCATCCTCTCTCTTCTACACACCCCCCTGTCCCATTTACCCAGTGTTGGGGAAGTCCTGTTATTTGTCAATAAAGCACTGGTGGCCTATACGGAACCAAGATAGGTGGGATTAGGAGTCCAGGAGGACTCTGGGAAGGAGAAACACAGGGAGTCAAGATGTAACACCATGGGGTAGAAAGCCCAGAAAGCTCTCCAGTAAGAGAAATACTTAGACTAACAATTATGGGGTAATTACTTAAGTCAGAGCTAGCCAGTAAGAAACAAGCAAGGCCAACAGCTTCATAATTAATATAGCCTCCTGTGTGCTTATTTGGGACTGATGCGGCTCTGGAGCCAGGCTGGCGGGAAGGCTTTTCTCTAAGGAAAAGGCTTCTCTTTACAACCCAGGACATCTTCAATATGTTTCCTTCCTGGGGTTTTCCATGTGTGTTTTTCTTATGGTCTCCATGTTTAACTATCAGGTTCATTCTTACAGCAATTTAATCAATAGATTCAATACACACATAACAAAGTACCACCAGATATTTCCGTGACAGTTTGGAATGCTTATTATACAATTTATGAGCAAATGCAAAAGACGAAGACAGTCAAAATCATTTTAAAAGTGAAAAATCAGGCTAGAGGATGCACACTTGTGGATGTAGACTTCCCACAGAAGTAGGTATGAGTGTAAGTAGACCAGAGACTAATATATATGCTTTGATAAAGTGAAAGATGGTATCTTAGTACTTGCAGCTGGATGGTTTCTGTCACAAATATCGAACTTTGTTGTTGTGTGAAGGTAGCCACAGACAATGCAGAAATAAACATTTCTTTCTCTTCTTCTTCTTCCCTGTTATATTTGGTTCTCTCTTCTCTCTTCCCTCACTATCTACATACACAATACACAACCACACACACACATTATGTATGTCTATGCATGCTATTATATCTGTAATTTTAATGAATGAGCTGAAAATTCAAACCAACCTTGGTAGATAAAAGTTGATGACTTTAGCGGGATTCAGATATCTCCATAGCTTCTTAAGAAAGGCTTTCCTTGATCTTTCTCCTCCTGTGACATGTTGTCTAAGATCTCTTGGAGAGTCAGCTTCGCAGACCGATACTGCTTTCACTGATGTTCTTGATGGACTGACAATTCAAAAGGATGTGGAAGATGGCTTGATGCTGATAATAGTAGACAGGATGTGAGCAATGCTAACTTTAAATCATAAGGTTATTAATACCAGTGTAGAACGTCAGAAACCACGTTAAATGGCAGGATGCAGAGGAGGAACACTAGTATTGTGAACTCTGGTGTCACATGCAGCTTGTTCAGTACCATCTTCTGGGAATCACAGAAAGTCAAGTCCAATAAGGCAGGATAGACTCAGAGAACACAACACACAAAAATACCAGTCGTGCAGTAGTGACAAAATGCATCATGCAACCACAATAACAGTCAAATCTTTTAACAGCAAGCCACAGTGGGACTTTTGCAGGTTGCATAATAAAACAGGAGAGACATCACCCAGAGCAGGCCCCACAGGATACCTAATATGTGACATGTGGCAGTAGTGGCAACATAGATAGGCCATGCATAGACAGGAAATGGTGCTAATGAATGTTTTCAGTCCACCTATAGCCCACTATATACAGTTGATCACAATGAGCAAGTCACTGGGGACTGAGAAAGTGGCAGGATAAAATATGTAGTTAAACCAGGGAATCTGCAATGAAGCAGCATAGGGCGAGGGAGATGGTCTTCCCTGCTTGAAGATATTGATAGAGAATGTGTTCCCTTGCATAAAGAACAAAGAAAGGAGGGTGAGGTCTGAGTGCTAGCAAAAGATGTAGTGGAATTAAAACCAAACAGTAAGAGGAAGACTTAATTGGTGTGGTGTGAAGTGAGCAACATGAATGGATTCCATTCTTTTTCTCCCAGGAGATCCTTAGTGGTGTTTCCTTTGCAGGAAGAAAAGCCTTTGTTTGAGAGGAGCCTTTGAAAGGAAGTAGAAGTGTAGGACTTAGAGTATAAGGAGACCACACACACACACACACACACACACACACATTCACAAGCTCACACACATATGCACTCACTCACACCTGCATGCACACACTCACACACACATGCACACACTAGGTGTAGAAATAGCATCTGGTCTGAAATCAACAGTTGCTTTCTCTTTGGAGTCTTTCAACAGTCAAAGGATAAGAATTAACATTTTTTCCTCAACTTTTAAAAGACGGCATTGGAACAGAGAGGGTGACCGATTTGCTCTTAACAATGTGGATGAAGCCCAGGCATGTAGTCTCCCTCAGTGTTCTCTCTTTTGCCTGGGCCTATAATCCTAACACCACAGGAACTATTCATAAACATAGAGGAAAGGAAGTCTGGGGTTAATTTTCAAGTGAAACCTGCATTTGACATAAAATATTATGAGCTAAATGAAATGTAGCAGAAACAAACTCCAGAGGTGAGGACGGGAGTTTGTTAAAAGGTTGATTCACCGTCCAAAATGAATAACTGAAAACGGAAATATAACTTTACTCTTCAGAGATAATAAGAGCAATGCCAATAGTAAGTACATCATGAGTGGCGTCTGGAGAATGAGAATAAAGGATAAACTCACTTTTCTTGCACTTGTCTGTCAGTTACAATAAAAGAACACCTACAAGTCAATCATGATTAGGTGAAGAAAACAGGAAAGAACAAAAACAGGAAATCAGGCCGTGGGAATTCTTCAGAGACACTATAATATAGAGGTATGGGTAGAAGCTGAGCAAGGGCAGATGTCTCACTCCAGCATCTTCTGCTTCACAGAGTAGACAGAATTCCCTATAGAGGACACACCTGTAAAGGAGGTTCACAAATGGCAGAGGATATACCCTCCTCGTAGGGTGCAGAGAGGTGCCAGGAAGTGAGCTTAGCTGCTCTAGACAAGCTCTCAAAGCCCTAGCTGGTGGAGGGTGTGGGAAGGAAATCAGGATCTTTGCTGTCTGGACACAGTGCCCTTTAGTTTGAACATGGGGCTTGTGGTTTTTGGGAGACATCACCAGGAGACTAGAGGGAGAAGGGGAGTGGTGAAGATTTTGCTTCTACCTCTTGACCTGTGAGACTGTGAGTAGGCAAATGCAGTGACTTTTCACATGCAAAGCTGTCCTTTCTGACAATGACAACTAGGTCTTATAATTCTCTGGGAACCGATTCTTCCCTGGCTGTGTTTAGTGTTAGACACAGGGCCTTACTAGTGCCTGCCTTAAGGTGACTCATTGTGTATTTCACTTTCCCTTAACCCTGTCTATCACTGCAAACAGTCAGCTCAAGGAACATTCCTCAAACATTTCAATTTGGGCTAGCATTTAACTTCTGGCACCTTCTCAGGTTTCATATATACAAAGGAGAATAACATCGGAAAGCAAACAAAACAATACAATCTATGAAATTTATAGCAGTCAGTCTGGGAAGCAAGGTCTGAATGTCATCTTGACTCATTCTCTTTTAAGTATTTATTTTTGAGACAGATCTCTTCATGTGCCCCAGGCAGGGCGGCAACCTTACTGTGTAGCCCAACCTGAATTTAAGTGAATGCAATACTCCTTCATTCTCCCACATACTAAAATTAAGGGAGTGTGCAACCACATCAACTTTCACCTTGAAATGAGTGTAAGATGCATCATTCTCCCCAGAGCAACCATATTTGAATAACTAGAATAAAAGAAATGCCTTTGGTCTTGGTAATCTTATGGAGATCCCCCATTCTGTTTTCATAGGGAAGCCTCACACCTCCTTCCTTTCTCTGAAGAAAGTCTCCTGGTCCCTGCATGCAGTTTCTCAGTGTAGAAACAGAAGGGCATGAACATATCCTTAACGAGCAAAATTCTTAACAAACCCTGGAAGCAAACGTTATCTTGACACAAATCCTTACCTTTCTCCCGTTCTTCTGTCAGGAGTTGGAGAGTCTTCTGGGCTGCCCTGAATACAGAGAGTCTTCTGGGCTTGTGAGGATGCCAGAGTATCCTTTATTTCCACTAGTAAATGCTCATAGGAGCTTTATTAAGAGCTAGTGACCAAGTGAGACTTACATAGATGCTGGGCTGGGGGTTATTAAGGGACCAAATCAATGTGAGACACATCCTTCACTGAGATATTCTGGATGACTTCCCAGTTTTCACTCATATTGTGAGCTTCTCCCATCCCAACCTATGTGGTATCCCCCATCCTTGTAAGTGAGTGCCATCCTGAAGCTTCAATTGCCGATTATGAGCCCAGGCTGTAACAATGTTAGGTAAATTGAGCTGCTTGTGAGATTTATAACTAAAGTACATTATAGTGTCTCTAAAGAATCCCCATGGCCCGACTTTCTTTTTTGTTCTTTCCTGTTTTCTTCGCCTAATCCTAATTGACTTGTAGGTGTTCTTTTATTGTAACTGACAACAAGTGCAAGCAAAGTGAGTTTATCCTTTATTCTCATTCTCCAGACGCCTCGCTTGCTGTACTTGTCATTGCTCTTATTATCTCTGAATAGTAAAGTTATATTTCTGTCTTTAGTTATTCATTTTGAAAGGCGAATCAGCCGGATTCCCTTATTACACAGAGTTCGTTCAACTATTCTAGTGTATGTGCTTTTCTCAGTTCAATACATGCAATTTATTATTATCTACTTTTGTTCATTGTATAGAGTAAGGTTTATAGATGATACCTCCTAAGGTCTGTTTTCTTGTGCCATACTTTATAGACAGATTCAACTTTTTGCCATTTAAGAATGTTTTTCAAAATTCTGTTTTAAGTATTTAGAAAACTATTCAGTGG